TATAATAACGTTCAGACTCCTAATTAGTAGTGCTGTTTCGTTAATCTCCATCTCCTCCCTATACAGTCTTATTGTAAGAATTCTCAATATTAAGCTTAGGTCTACTCCTAAGCTCAAACAACGGTCAAACTGTAACAATAACTATGATACAGTACTGAGTACTCTTTATGCTCTTTGACGCCAATTTCCTGAACGGCTGCTTCACTCAAGCATAGATGACTCTACCTCAAACTGTTCATGCATGGTGATTTTCCGTCCTTGTCAAGGTATCTGTTATAGACCTTGTATTTGTCGCAAATAGATATCTTCAAGTCATGTTCATGATATTCACAACAGAGACCATGAATGCAAAGAATTCTCCTCTTAGATACAAACAAGTCTGCAGTACTTGGCTTGCTAGATTAAGCGATATCTCTTGAAGTGTATCCGCTTCTCTGGGCTTAGTCGTCATGTCGCCACAAGGGGAGCCTCATATCTGGTGATTTGATTTCACCCGGCCACCATACATTGGCAAATGACTCTTGTTTCGCTGTTTGAATAGAGAAGACAAAGAATTCCAAGAAGCTACTCTAAGAGAATAATCAAATGAAGACTAGTGAGGAGGAGTATTTTTAAAAGTAAGCTGTGAAGAGGTATGAGGAATGGTATACAACCTGAGTGTGACGGCTGTCAAGCCTAAGGGTTCCTGTAGCCTACGCTGTCTGGCGCAGGCAATTATACGAAGGGAGATTCCTGGGAAGATCGTAGATGACAGGGAACCTAGATGATTCACATTGAGCCTTGTTGAAACCTACTGAGAGTTCATGAGGGTTACAGAAGTATCAAGGATCTACAGGCGATTGTCGGAGAGTCTGAGTTGACAAGTCATAGAGAGAACCTTATTGAGGAGGGGTATTTCAGTCTGTATATATAGGTAGTCATTAAGTACAGAAATTCTCTCTTCAGAGAATTATAATTAAAATATTGTACCTACAACATTGCTCATGCATTTTGTAATGAAACCGTGACACTGAGACATAATTGAATTTAGCGTACAGGTACAAGTAGCTTCATTTTCTGTATATCCATAGATTAAGAGAGGAAAAAATGAAGATAGTTCAGTGCACTTGAATCAAATATTTTCTACACCCTATCCCGATGTTTATATATTTTTGTCTTCACGAGGCTATGACTGCATAAGGACATGTAGGAACTTTCTGCCTACAGGCCAGGAGTATCTATGCCTCACTTATGGCCTCTTTCCATTGGTAATGACCCATACCCCTTCACTCTATTACGCAATCATTGGAGCTGTTATACCATTGTTATCTCCCATCTCAAGCCAACGAAACAATTTCCACTTGCGGCTGTCCAGTTGCAAGGAAAAGTCTCAAAAATTTTGGTTCGGGCTATCCTAATGCTGATATCAGGACTGGAATCGAAGACGTTAATATTCTTCTGAAAAGTTGGAAGAGTCCAACCTGCTAGGCGCTGCAAACGTGTAGATACTTGGAGACATTCACACTCTGCCTTTCTGGCCTCCTTTCAGCTCTTTCCCGAAGGTTCTGCTGAAATGCTAGTAGAGTCTTGACAAAGCATGATTGCTGTTTGTTAGCTTAGCCCAACTTCTTTTGTGCCGTCCAGGGTACTGAGGTGTGACATAGATTCATCGATAATAGAAGTCCTGGCTAATTAGCCGATATATTAGCCTCGACGCCCACGAGGGACCCAAAGTTGAAAACATATTGAAAATGTCAGTTTCATCATTCTCACTTGTGATATTTTCACACGCTCGTCCTACATCCCAGCTGGCTGTCCTTCCTCAATTGGTATACCCATTAGAACAATAGCCTACCATAAACGAAGATCCGAGCTTTGTTTCTTACAACTTAATTTCCTGCTTGTGGGTGTACGTAGCGTCTTAAGATTTAAGTTATGCTTTCGACTTCGATTAAGATGCGATTGTTCTTGGATATCCCAAACATGCAGAGCATGCTTAGTGATCATACTGGCACCACTGGAAGGTGAAGAACTCGTCTGTGCCAGCTAGGAAATTTTCTTAGATCTGAGCTTGAAGTTTGGCTCATGTAAACCATTGATTTCATTTCCAGAGAAAGCGCTTATATATTGTATGTGGATGAAGTAGTTCGGGAGGAATAATAACGCATATAGTCTATACAATCAATGAGGTCAGACAATGGGGGAACTTTATTTCAGATTGTAGCTATGAATGTCTTGTTTCTTCGTAGAGGAGAATGGCCGGCACTAAATGTGTAGCACAGTGCCTTGCATTCAGTTATTCCTTAGACTAATTGCCGAGAAAATGTTGATGCCTGAAGCATGCCTAGCGCGGTTGTGCAGCACCAACGTTACATATGTTCGAGATCATTGTTGAGGATTGAGTAATGGTTATCGAAATTGATATCAATTGACCCGATCAGACACCCTACGGGTCCATGCAGGTGACTATCTGCATTATTTACAAAGGAGGAAACCAATTTAGTGAAAACCCCCTGATCCTGTCTTTTTATGTTCCTATCAATTTATTATGTTTACCTTCAGGAATTGCAGTGTATACTGTTCAGCCCGTGTGGATTCCGTCCTCTCCCCTTCCAGATCTATTTACATTATCCGACATTACTACCCCATTTTTTTTTTAAATCATTTAATGTGTATTCTGCTATCAAGCTATGACACATGACCGGTGCTATGTATACATGTGGGAAGACGCTTTTGACATTAGAGACACTCATACTCTGGATTTCATTCGCAAATACCACTATGAGGTATTTTCGCTTACACAAACAGTCAACTCTCCTCCGTAAGTACCCACCAAAGGGAATTTCGAAACCTTTGGTTATCCAAGAATGCCTTCGTCATCCATGCATACCAGCGCCGCGAGAAATGTGGTTGTGTTTTGCCGGGTTTGAAACAGCGATCTACTGTCTCGAGTGGGATATGTCTCCAAGCTATCCAGACTCTACTTGGCAGACCGGCCAAAACGATGTACCACCGCACCATCCAAGCATGGCAGATTTTACAGTGTCGCCTGCACTCTTCTGGGCTGTTCATCATTGCTTCAAATTACCTGTCTTTAGCTTGTCGGAGAAAGTCGACGCTTCCAATTGCCCACTGCGGATACGCCAACACCATATGCTTGACGTTTTGCGACGGATATTCACATTGACAGTTTGGCTTTTCTAATCCAGGTACTTTTCTTCTGCTCAGGTAAGAATTGAATCCGATATGCTCGCTCCTTAGCTGAATGGCGACACTGCTTTGGGCCCTGGTTAGGTTTTGGTGGATGTTTAAGGGTATATCTTTGAAATTCATTTTGATGCTGCCTGTTTGTTCATCAGTAAATATATTTGCCGCTTTCCAAGAGTATTGGTTATTATTATTTCTTTTATTGCATGGGGTTTTAATTGCGTACGCAACTCTTTAGCTGCGACACTACATCAAGGCTAGCCTAAATAATGAAAGACCCATTCTGATAATAGGGCACTCATACCTCAGATTTCAATTGCTAGAAATGTTAGAATTTAGAATAATTGGGGATATCAGGTTGGCCAGGTTATTGATACACACGTGACTACAAATTCTGTACATAGTTTCTCTTCGGTGGTAACTCGAACCAATGCGCTTTACAACCTCAATGACTGAGGGGTCATTATTTCTTTAATAAGAACTATTATGAATTTGCGGCTGTTTTTACATCACCCCAAGTCAACGCTCATCCGTGAATACCCACTCAGGGAAACGTCTCAAAATCCAGTTATCCAGACATTCCTCCATCACCTATTGATTTGTCTCCGCACAAAGCATGATCTTGGCCTTCTCATTTCTAAGTGGATTAATACCCCAGCTAGTCAAACTATACTAGAGAACACCAACAGGAGGTGGTTCACGACAACGACTATCGTTTGTTTGTTTTTATAGTCAGTTTCACTCTCGCAATCGAAGGCTTTACGCGTACAATGCCCTTCAATCTGAAAATTCTAGTCAAAATTTTAAATCTCAGAACCGACGAAATTATGTTCATCCTCTGCATCATCTTATAAACCTGATAAGCTTTCGGTGGAATTATCCTCTTGAGTAGAGTATTTGGACAAATTAGCATCATAAGAGTAAAATTACCATAGTTACTTCATTCCTAGCTCGCAACAAATTAGTCATTTTAGAACTATTGAGTCTTTCGGGACTAACTACCCGTATCACATTAATTTAGATGCAGGGCCTCTGCCTGACTAGATAAATTACAAAATAAAATTAAACTTAACTCATTTGGAGGGGTGGAATTGGGGGAAACATGTTAAAAAAGGCCCGATAGTATGCTGTCTACCTGAAGTTGAATCTTGCCAACCCAGCGTAAAGATGGGATTCATTCCCGGTGAGCTTGGTATTGTTTCAAGTAGCTATTTACATCTAGAGATTTATATTTGCAGCCACATAGGACCAAAAATAGAACTAAATGTGTGCATGCAAATCCTATCATGGTCCCAATTTAACTGATTCTATGCCATTACGTATCAGAACTGAGATAATTTACAAATAGCGAGCCCCTTGGGTTGTCTGTACCGGTAGCAAACCTGTCGAATTTTTTCTCAGATTGTCTTTATCCGTCACCGTCGCTCTCTGCTTAAAGCATATAAAAATATCCCAGTCGTGTCTAATTTACAGCTAGTCATGCTATTCTAGGAATTTATTAGAGCTGTTCGACTTCATTACTTACAGCTTTTAGATGTATTATGTTGATTGTTCCCATATTTAGAGAATCAAATAATTCTACCCACACCAAAATCAAATTAAAACACATCCTCGCCAAAAATTCTGTGTATACATGCACCAATATCCTTCATCTCTAAGTATATAAATACAAAATTTGCACAAGGGTCAGAAATTAGACTCCGTAATCATCTAAGGAATTGTCGTAGGAGATCATAAAGCCATTATATTTCGATTTTTTGGAAAGACAACTGAATTTGATTCAGCCAAAAGAAGGGGACCTCCGAAGTTAAAGTCTAGTGACTATCAACGACTAAGTCAGGACAGAGATTAAATTTCATGAAGATATCCTCGCAATCCTTAATCGAGTCGTCAATAATGCTGATATTGGCGCTAGATCTACCGTTGCTCTGAGGACTATTCTGAGCATTTGTAAGCATTGGTGTAGCTACCCTTGAGTCAATTTCCATTGTGAATCTCTGAGATTTCATTGGGCTACAAGTTTTGGGTAGCGATGAGTCCTCAATTTCTGTAAAAAGCAATTTCTCAATTACAGCAATTTGTTTGCCGTAATTATGTTTTTTCAACTGAAGGAGCTGGGGTTTCATATCATTAAGAAATGCTACTTTCTCTACACCCTGGAGCTGAGCAAGAAGTTTTTCTGTTGTCGAGTGGTAAGCCAGGTGATCAGTATGGCTAGGATGACTTACGAATCACATAGTTTCCAAATTGATCTTTCATTATAAGCTGTAGCGGACTAGTTCCATCACATCCAATAGCGGTCAGATGAGAAACCATGGCACGCCTCTGCTTTTCAGTTCCATGAATTATGCTTTTTTCAACGACATTTGACGCAAACTTGTGATTTGAGAGGTTCAGGAGTTGTCGAAGTACTAGGTTTATAATTTTATCACGATCCTCAAGCCTTCCATGTTGAATCACGTGTTGTATGACATAATTTCCATATTGATCCATGATGAGCTTCTGTGAGCATTCATGTAGCTCTTTGAGAATCTCAGATTGGTCTTCAGGCTTGCAGAAAGCTAGGATGCGTTGGATGACTCGACAACCATAAGGATGAGTGGCGAGCGTCTCAACTTGACCACGAAAAGCGTCAAGGATAAACTGAACATGCTGATTAGGAACACGCTCTATAGCTTTCTGCACAACATGATTTCCATTCTGATCCTGCACACATTTTAGGATGTCCATCTGAAGCTCTTTTACGAGACTGGCCTGTTGATCTGCGAGCACATACTCAAGCGCCTACACTTATTAGCGAGCTATATAAAAGATTTTAGAAATACCGACTTTTTGTACTACCCGACACCCATACATTTGTAAGGATAGCTCTACGACATGGTTTTTCAACTGCTCCGCGAGCACGCGTTTTTGGGCCTGGTTTCCATGTTCGAAGAGCTTTTGAATGACATAATTCCCAAACACATCAGTCGTCAATTGTAGAACGTTTGGTTTCAATTCAAGGAATACTCGTTCTTTCTCATCACTGCTAGCAGTTTCAAGCTTTGTCTGAATGAAACGAGACCCATGTTGATCGCCGCTAAATTCAATTATGTGATTGTAGATATCCTGAAATATTAGGCAAAGGCCTTAGAAAAAACAAAGAGGATGAGCTTACTTTCAGTTCGAATTTCTTGTTTGACTTAAGGTTTGCGCGGAAATCTTCAAGCACTGTGCTGCGAATTCCAAAACCGGTGTCATGACCCTTGGATGGATGCATAAATATAGGCTGCGACGCATGGTACGACTGAACAAGCATTGGATAGTCGTAAGGAAGACCCATCAGACCCGACTTGTGTGAGGTAGGAGGCAAATCATAGATTGGGGTCGGAAATTGGGTATTGAAGTTTGGTGCATTAACGTAGTTTTGAGCATGATTGAAAGGAGCGCAGGATATTCTTCTCCCTGCATGACCTAAAGCCTGACCTGATTGCATTCCAACTGGGCCCGAGCCAAGGAATTGTTCGGATGCTCGCCTGCTTTTGTTACAGCTCATATTCTGCCGATTATGGGGATGTGAAGTCGAGGCCATTTTGTTCATATTCCTCGAGTCATTATGTAGTTGACTTTGATATGATTCACGCATATTCGCCGCGTTAATTCCCTCGTTCCACATTGCTGAACTATTTACAAATGGTAAGGTTTGTGGAGACATGTGTGGATTAGTTTGAGGGGGTTTTGAAGTATAGTGAGGTGCTAGACGATGATTCGGGTACATCGACATTGCCTGATCTACATCACGCGGAATTCCGAAGCCTGCCATTTTTTCACCAAGCTCAGCATCCGATGACAATAGGTCGAAACGAAGATTTTGAATTTGGCTTCCTATTGAACGAGAATGTGGTGAGAGAGACATAGGCTGGGAGTGAATGGAGCTGTTACGGGTATGACTTCCCATCAACCCCATTTGCGTATTTCCATCTCCAAACTGACAGCCATCAGAAGCTCCAATCGTATCAATCGCATTTGATAAAGATCTAGAAATATCTCTTGAAAGGTTCGCCATAGGAAGATACTTGGATAAGCCGACGTCGCTCGCATATGTGTTTGAGATATGAGAGCCAACATTTTCCTTCTCATCGTACGTGGCTAGAGATGATTGAGCAAAATTGAATGGACCTGAAGATGGATCAAGGTTGCTCTTTGGTTGTGATCTTGGTAAGCTTGCCTCATGGCTGAACATAGTTCGAGAATGTTGTTGGTAACCATTTGAGGCTTCTCGTAATTGATGTTGATTCACGTTTGGCATAGAGTGACGAGCCGGAGGTGTAGATGTTGTATTTTCAGAATTAGACTGCATTGATGTAGAGGCAGAGTTTGTGTGATTCCAGGTATGGCTGACCCAAGGATCAGCCTCTGATGATGCAGCTAATGCACCAGATCCACTGGGTGCATCAGAAAATTCCTGACTATCTTTCGCTGAGAAAAAAATTAGACTTGGTGGTTAAAGCCGAGATGTCATTCATGAACTTACTGCAGGACCTTGAAATGTCACGAGCCGTATTTGTGATGCCACTTCCGATTGTATTCACGCCCCAAATACCACCTGGAGACTGCCATGTACTAGACTTACTACGAGTTGGACTGAGCGTAGAAGATATCGATGAATCGCTATTGGAGCGGCTAGAAGCTGCACTACCTCCACCACTATATTCTTGGAATAAAGAATGACGCCCCTTCTATTTGTTAGTTTTTATGGAGGTGACAGTACAAGTATCTAATTACTCACAGGTCTGGGCATTATGACGGGCGATCGACTTGTTGCCATTGATATTTGAAAGCTCGGTGGATCGTTTTAATTAGGTGGCTCGAGATGAAGGATTCACTTTATCGGTATACAAATTTGCAGGATAATTAAGTATAAAATGAGTTTTATTCTTCTTTTTAAGTTAGCATTGTGAGGATAAGGGGGAGTTTTTCGTAGTTGAAATATGTCTACTTACCTATTTTTTAAATGATTATGAATGCTTTGGATAAGCAGCTATCCGTCTATCGAAAAAAGCTGGGGATACTATACGCTTTTTGAGCAGTTGAATTTTTGTAGGAAACAAATTAAAAACGGCTCTTGAAGCAGGTAGCAAGTAGCAGGAAGAAGCTAGCGGGCTTGTGATGTATTTGTTTTCAAATAGAACTAGCTCAGGCTCACCAACACTTGACGGCTGACAGTTGTAGGGTGTGTTGTTCGATGTTCTATCTTTGCAGACTTCGCTGGAACCAGCTATTGAAGTTCTCGTTGAAGTGGTTATGATGTGTTGTGAGGGGAGGGGGGGTGCGGGGAGTGGGGAGAGGGTTCAACGGGCGGCGCCGTGGCGTGGTCGATGTGATCAACTGTCGTCAAACCTAAGTTCGGTCATCCATTCGCTGATGCTTGACCGAGTAAGTTGGGGTTTGGCGTCCATGGATTCAACTGACAAGGAAAGGAGTGAAGCTGTACCTACAACCTCCGTACACGACGTATACACGAACCATTTAAATCAAATGTGAAACCTAGGAGCGGACGGAATGTCGGTTGAGCCAGGGCAACCTGTCTAGCCAAGGGTTTGGCAGGTCAGGCCAAGGGCAGACCAGGTTCCAGCTGTAGGGTGAGGTTAGGGAGACGGGGATAGGTTCATGATGCGAGGAAGACAGTTGAGAATCAACTAAGCTTGAAATGGGCGAGGGATAGAATGGCATGGAGGAGGCCGTGGTGGATTACAGTCGGCCTTTAGAGCTAGGACAGGGTGTTTGTTGGATCACGATTCTACCACTCCGGCTAAGACTTTAGCGACGGCTACGGGCACCTCAGCCATTCCTATTATTTCCCTTTCACATCCTGTTGATGGCATTGACGAAGGCGTGTGAGAAGTTAGCGGGTGGGTGCAGATACTGGAGATGATTTAATTGCTGCTGACAATCCACGATATCGCGGCTTGTGCATTCGAGTGATGACAACTGCGTGTAGGTGGCTTACGGACTGACTCCTTGTGAAGATCTCGGGCGGAAGGGCCTGTGGGAGCTACTCCACGTCCAACTCCTGTTCTCTACTGCCAGCTCTGCAAGCTCCATATCGTGTCGCTCCACTACCTACCCAACTGGCCCCTTCTCCGCAAATAGCATCAATCTCGATACCAACAAGACCTTATAATTTTCTGGCCCCGTGCCATTCATGATATACGGTCGATACAGCCCTATTGTCCAATTGTTGCTGGCTAGGGTTCAGCATGTGTCGAGCACTCGTCGACTGCCTGATACCGCTGTAACCAAGCATCTTCGGGTTCGAATAGTCAAACTGGATGATCGCATACAGACTGTTCTAACGCAACGCTTTCTGCACTCCGCTGTCGATAGAGAAACAAGCTGAAAATGGCCACTGACCCTAGAAACGAGGGTCTCGAGAGCTGTGGGGAACAAACAAAACTCCTGCCTGGATCATGCTAGCGTTACCCCCTTCGTTCCTAATCAGTTCGAAGCTACGCCGGACCTGCAAGAACGTTGTGTCTGCGCGACGAGGAGAGTTGGTTTCATACGTCAGTTGCTCACGCTCTTTGACCTTTCTCCTTGCCCCACCAGATCGAGTCAGTGGACGGTCAATGGGTCGAGACCATGAAGGAGTCGGGCCAGTTTAGTTAGACAAAGGTCCAGCGCAATACTCTCAAACCCTCATTATCGCTGTGATCATCATTAATATTATTCCTCTACTTGCCCAGCACATGTGGAAATATGCTAGTTCAGCGATCGCTCCCTTTCCTTGCCTAATTATCCAACACCAGAGCCATTAGAGGATGTTTGGGGCGACCCTTAGATCTTCGCCACGACCTTTGGAATTCCTTTCCCAACCATCATCACCCCTATCCTAGCGCGTGAGCAGGCTGATTATGAATCAGTGGACATTTCCAAAATCTACCACCGATAATTGTCTCTCAACAGCCCGAGCAAAATGGTTATCTCAACCTCGATTTCCTGAAGATTTTCCAAAGACTTTGAATTAATGTGACCCCCAGCTACAGGCAATCAAATTTAGATTAATCCTACCATTAAAAACACCAGTACCTGCGTACTAAAAGTAAATACAACCTCAAAATTTTCACTTTACAACCAAAACTACAGTCGCTACATTCCAAATAAATTTGAAAGCCGTAGTGCACTGGATGCCTATTTGTTATTATACCTGTTCGTAGCTGCAATTGTCGGCGAGCCACATAGCAACAAAATTTAATTAGACCCAACGCATTGCCCACAGCTTTAGCAAAGCATAAATCTGCGCGAGTTCAGCCAACAAAGAGGCATTTTAATGTACAAAAATTTAGGGAGAGAATTAAATGGAGCGGAAAAACTAGGTCATACTATTGACTTATATACTTAAGTTTTACTTAGAGTCATCTGTGTTAGAGGACTGGTAACTGCGCTCCAGGCTACATGGAATACTCCGGTTGGGTTACCTCGTGATTCGAATGCAATGTGTGGAGAACTAGAACCTGGGCCAGTTCATGGCTTTTTCCTCACAGTATTTATCTCTTCCTTTGTTGTATGAAGCCTAAACTTGCCTTAACATGCTCGAAAAGCCTACCCTTGAATCAATCAACGACCGTGCTCGGGTCTATCTGAGGCTACAAATCCCTCCATGCAGCAAGTGGACCATGAAGCTGAGATTGCTTGAACTCTATCTTCTGAAACTCTATAATCTGACATAGAGTTCCTAACGTTTGCATAGATACAGGTCTCTGTGCACGAGCTGTGCGGCAGGTAAAAGAGCTAATCTACTGGCATATTCTGTCGAAGGCTGGCTTCTTGTAGCTCGCGTCAGTGCATACCAAGGCTCAATATATAGATAATTGTCTGGAAGCAAAACGATTAGATAGTATTAGGGCTCGTTGAGTCGTAGCTTGTCGAAAAATAACGATACTTTGACAAAGATAAAAGGTATCTAGTTTATTTGAACTTTACAGCTGCAAGCTTGTCGTTAATTAGAGGCGCATTAGCTTCTAATTATCTTGTTACGCTTATCTAGAAAACCGTAGTTTTTGAGCATTTGAAATCGATGACAAGCAGCGTGCGCATCAAACATGAGATCTTCACTTGCGCCATACCGAGTGATTCCACTGGTTTACAAGATAATAAATGTTGCCATATCTCGAGGAATAAACGAGGAATGAGGTAAACAGAACTAAGCTAGCAGTTCATTGGAAAATATTCCTGAACGCAGGTCCCGGAGTCTGAAGATTACACACTATGTTACAAAATACAGCTACAATGCGCTTCTAACTACATCTGCATTCAGCACAAGGATATCAGCAGTCTATAAAAAACGGGGGTTACTTAAGCTTTATCTATCGAGGATTCACAAGAGTTAAGTAATTGGGCTTTGCCCTAATTATATGAGCAGAATTCAGCCAAAACTCTCGTCCTTTAGGCTCATGTAATTATTTTTTCACATCTTCAGTCAGTGGTTAAAATATTAGAATCGCCGAATACATACCTATTAGTGTCTTTCGCTAATTGTTCTTTTTACCAAAGCCGAGCGATCTCTAGAGTGTGTTGGATGTACATGAGCAGATGGCGGTGAAGGGAGACTGGAAATATGCCAAAAGTGTCCTCTACCATCGACTCGGTTCAGCCTGAATTAGTCCCCAAACATACACCCGCAACGCTTTAGATGCCCGCAGGGGCACCCAAAACACGCTGCCCAGGCTGACTCATGGCGAAGACGTGGCGCATAGTATGAAGATGCGAAAATGATCCTGAGGGTGGATGTAATGCGACACGGAATGAAATTTCGAATTTTGGCTCGGAATTCATCGGATTAGCGTTCCTCATTTTCAAAGAAAGATAGATTTTATTCGTGATGCGCTCGAGCCTTGTACTCATAGGGGTGAAACATTAAAGGTTGGTCCTTCACCGACGGCTAAATACGAAGATATCTCAGTTTGAAATTTAGATCACTCATGTAGCGGGTGCATTCGTTGATACCACTCGAGACCTTGGTGCTAGGGACTTTCACCCTTCCCTCAATCGTTAATATCCACCAAAGTGAAAAGAGGAAAAACTTTGGCTACCCTGACAAGCCTTTGTCATCCTGTATATAGCTGCCGCGCGAGATATGGCCTGCTGGCTCTCCCATGCTCAAGTTAGGTAGGCGTCCCGGCTACCCAGACTCTAACTTGGGGAGATAACGACCAGTAGCTGGACCGCAACACCATTCATAGTTGCCTGTTTTTAGAGGGTCAGTAGCACTATCTGGAAGCGTAGACTCAATGCCCACAAATATCTCAGAGTCAGAAAGTTCGTCGAAAAATGTGAGTCCCATAATGCCTGTTTGCGACCTCTTCACTAGCTCGACTCACGTCCCAGCTACCTATGCTATCTCAAGATGTAGAGCTTAATTAGAGCAATGGTCCCTCATAAGCCAACCATCGAGCTTTGTATCTCACAACTTAATTTTCTCCTTGTGAGTACACGTAGCGTCGTAAATTCGGTAGTAAGTGATGACCAGTAATCAATGAAGCGAGCTTCTGTTTGTTGTTGGGACAGCTCTTTGGCCGGTAGTTGAGGTGAAGTGTTCGTGGTAAGATCGAGTTGTGAGACTCGCGTGAGAATGGTAGGTCCGAAATTAATTAGAAGTTAACGATTGAAGACATGCAGAGCACACTGAGCGATTACGCCGGCACCGCTGGAATGTAAAGAGTCCGTCATTGCCGGTCCTCACCAACAAAAACTCAGTTGGGTATTCATCTAATTTTCATTCTAGTCTGCTCTTTGGATTTCAGAATTGTGTGCGACATGGCTGGATCA